AGACTGCAGATAATTCTCTTCTGAGCAAACATAATATTTGAACAGCTAAATTGTGAAGGAGATACCACTTGCTATCCAATATTTGGATAGTGTGCTGAGAAATCAGTAGATCTTATATAAAAAAAACACCAACACCAAACAAACAAAACAATTTGGGGTTTATACACTTGTAAGAAACAAGCATTTTTGATTAACTATTGTACATGTCTGTCGTGGAATACTTTTTCTTCCTGCTCCTTTTTGTGTGCCTGCAGGTGCTAGGTTTTTATTCTAAGTGTGGTTCATCTTAACAGAGCAGTTTCCTAATAGCCTCTAAATGGAATCATTAATGCTTTGTGCTTTTCAGCCATTCAGCTTTGCGTGCTTTCTGCATTCATTACCATTTTTATCTCTCTGTTATGTTACTCTGGTTTGTCCACGTTCACTGACCACGTCAAATTAGATATAGGAGTTCTTGAGAGTGTTGTTTGCTGGGTCCTGAAAGATTGAGGGAACTGGGTTAGTGTGAGGTGTTGGGAAATGTGTTGGATCCTTCACTTCCCAGGGTGGTCGTTAGGGCTGTTTTTAAAGACCCTTTCAGTCCAGGTTGTTCCTCTGAATCTAGGCCAGACAGGTAATAGCTTTATAGGGCAAAATTTACTGTTTTCCTGGCTTGGGTGAGATGAGTTTTGTGGGTTTTGGTCAGGTTCTTGCATGGACAGGCTGTTCCTTTTCAAATAACCTGTTGGAGCTGCGTGAATTCATCAGTCTGGGTGTGTGGGGCACAGCTGCCCTGGCACCCTCGCTGCTGGGGTGCAGCCTTACAGCTGTGGGCAAGGGGCTTCATTCTCCAGCATCGTCAGACCTCCAGTGCTTCCATGCTACTCAGTGTTTCAGGTTTCCCCAGTGATGAGTGATAGTGCTTGTTGCTTATTCCAGGCTTTAGAATTCTGTGTCTTGCTTTTGGTTTTGCTTTAAAAATGGCTGTTCACTCCTGCAAACGATATTGTCATCTCTGTTTCTTCATGAATAAGAGAAGAGTAAGTTCCTTTTAATAATGTTCTCAGTGTAGAGTGAAGGTGTGCAGTCCTGTGTCAGGTCAGAAAGTTTCTAGAAATCATCTTATTTTCTTATCCTAAGGACTTAACATCTCTGCTCACAACTGCTCCGTGTGAATTATCCCTGTTGAGGTTGCTCATCACGTGAGTACAAACACATACCTGAAAACTAAACAACTGTTTCTTCATTTGCTGCTTGTACCTGACTTTTAAAGGGCTGGATGTTTGGATTTGTTTAAGACAGAGTAGAGCTGATGGAGTTGTTAGCAGGGTTAATAACTGCTTGTGTCTTTCTGGAGCAGAAATGAGTCCAGAAAGTCTCAAACAAACCCAGGACTTCCATTTCGAGAGCAACCTCTAGCTGCAATCAAGCCCTAGGGAGTTCAGGAATTTCTGAATGTAGGACTGCCCACAAATTGCAGGCTGCAGGTTGATAGCTCAGGGGAGGTTATTGCACAGACTGAGAAACTGTGGCTCCAATGGGAGTCCCAAAAGGTCTTGAACTCTGACACACCCTACGGACTGGGTATGATGGGTCTGCTGGTGGGCATTCCTCCTCACCAGTAATGTTTGCTCAGCTGGTTTTATCCAGTATCCCTAGAGGATTGTTCTGCCTGTGGAAGAAGATGGTATTAGGAGTCTGCTGAGTGTATTCTTAGCAGCTGGAAGGAGGTGAGCTGCCACTGTAGGACCACACAGCTGTTCATGATGTGGGACATCATCTCCAGGCACTTCTGAAGCTGGATGATCCCTGCTATGGTGCTGCACGAGGAGGGCAGCAAATGATCAGTTCTGGGTTTGGTATCATTGAGCAAGGAAGCTGTGGGGTCCCCTCAGCCTCACCACGAGCATTGCCTGGCACAGGGTTTGTCCCCCAGCTGCACAGTGGGGTGGGAGATGTGCTGTGGCACAGCCGCTTGCGCACGTCACCTCTTGGCGCTCCCATCCTGCGGGGAAAACCCGAACTCCAGTTACATCTCCTGTGTGGCAAGTGGAGTGGAGCTGCCTCCTCTGCCCATTCCTGTTTGTAAAGCCTTTTGAGACTTTTCAACATTGTGGTCAGGCAGAAGTTTCATTTCCAGCTCTACAATTACGCATTCATATTATCCAGTTTCCAGTAGATCTTTGAATGACTGTTGATTTTCCACAGGTATGAAATAGCGGGTGTTGAAATTCCTCGGCCGTTCTGCTGCTTGTCTACGATCCCATCTTGATGAGTCTCACCTAGAAAACAGTGTGTGCATAAGTTGTTATTACAGACTCCTCCTGAATCCCAGTGGGGCAAAATTCTTCTCAATAATAGGTTTTGCATGTGGCCCGGTACCTCTGCGGTATCCTTGGGACAGCATTGTTGGGAGGAAGCTGTGCCTGGGTTTGAATAGCGCTCGGGGTGCCAGGAGGAAGAGTGGAGGAAAAGGAAACGGGGGAGCTGCTGGTTTGTCTCACATTCACATCAGATGACAGGAAGTGGAAATTGAGGTTGGCTGCGGTGATCTGGACAGCGCGGTGGGGCCGCGGCTGTGCGAACAGCGGCTGAGCTCTGGGTAACCCAAGGCATTGCCATAGGAGAGCTTTTCATGTGTTCTCTCTCTCTCTCTCTCTCTTTTCATTTTTAAGGCTTTGGTTTTTCCATGACAGATCTTCCTTCAATACTAAAGTCCTCTTGTCTTGGAGAACTACTCCTCAAGTTACTGCCCTCACTATATTAACAAATCCTAATCACAGCCTGAAACTTTTAATTATACAAGACTTCAGTTCTGAGCTGTTCCATGGAGAGAACAGGACCTGCAGTTGTAACAATTGCATGTGTGATTGGAAAATAGCCTTTGCACCATCTGTGATCTAAAGATTAGAAATAAAACAGGCTACGGAGGTTGCTTCTAGACTCTTAATGAAACTTGTTTTAATAGAACAGCTACCACTTTGCTGCTAATAAAGTATTATTTGAATGCAGAGGTTCTCAGGAAAAAAAAAAACACACCACAAAGTATTCCTTTTAGTAGGACAGCTGCAGGGGTTTTGTTGTTGGTGAGCAGAACACAAGGAGAATCGTTGTCCTTCCACCACCTCTGTAAGTGCCAGAAGGGGAACAGCATTCTAGTGCTGAGGACTTTATTTTCTGGAACTGGAAGTGCTTTTTGTAGCAGTGTTTTTACAGAAACAAACCTGAGGTGTGCTTACATCTCGTGGAGGCTCTGAAAGTTCAGCACGTGGGGTTTTATGTACGTCACCTGTCTCCAAAGTTAGTGTTTTTCACTTGTCCATCTGTGACAGCTTGGAGGTGCAGTGGGAAAACTTGACTACTGTGTAACCAGCTCCTTTTTTTTTCCTGCTCTTGCTTTGCTGTCTCTCTTGCTTTCCCAGCAAAGACTGTAGCCCTCTTGGAAGACCACAGTGCTTAGTCTGTATTCCGAAGGATGTAGGAAGCCTTCTGTAGTCAATCACAATGTGTTTATTCCCCTGGGAGATAACTTGGCCCTTCTGCATTGCTCATCTGAACACTTGCTGCACCTTCACCTCTTTAAAAGTGCATATCCTGCATGTCCACTGTGACCCATCCTGTGAGATGACTCACGTTCCTGGAACTTTCTTGCCTGGCTCCTGAAGCTTAACAAAGGGCTATGGCCCTTTTCAAACATCCTATCAGGCTTTATTAGGAAAAATGTTGTCTACCCTTCCCATTTGGACTGTCCCTGAAGTTGCCTGATGCATTTGACCATCTTGGGGCACTGCTGGTCATTCATGTTCGGACATGCAAGGTTTCACCCAGTGCCTGGTGATCCATGTGCACGTTGGGTTGTCCTGGTGGGGCTTTCAGGGTTGTCCTGGTAGGCTTTCCAAGCACTGAGTGTTACCTTGCAGGCTGAAAACTGGGCTTCAAGTACACAGCTTGCTAACAAATACTGTGCAGCTGATCAGGAGAAGACAAGTCCTGACTCTGGCACCCTTATTAAACCCTTAGACGGTTCTTAAACTCTAAGGAAAGGGTCAGGCAGTGAAATAGTAACAGGTGTCCTTTTCCTTATAGGTCAGCTAATGTTGTTAAACACTTTGATCCAGGGAACCAGAAAAGAACTTTCAGAATTAGATGTGGCTTGTACAACAAATGAGTTACTCAGTGCACTAGACACTAAGCAGGCAGATTTGCTCTGGCTTTCCCTGGTTTTATTGAAGATGGCACACTTGCCACTGGATGGCAGGAGGATAATTGGCTCAATGAGTGTCTGACTTCCATATGCATGTCACTGAGGAGCTGTCAGAGCCAGAAGCACTGGCAGATTTGCCCTGGATGATGCTGAGGTCTGTCTGGTGCCTTTTTTTTGCCTGGTCTGCTGTCAGTTCCTGGTTGCAGTTGGTTCTCATTTTTCTGTCTTCCTGCTTCCCCAGCCCTGCCAGGTGAGTGGGAGATGGGCTGTTTCTGTGTGACCTGGCCATGTCCTTGTCCCCTGCTCAGCACAGGGAGGGGACGGGAGTAGCAGTGCTTTTACAGGGAGAGGGAGGGCAACAAGAATAGCAGGGACCATGAGGGACACAGGGTGCTGTGGGCTGGGACTGCTTCTGCAGGGAGAGGGAATAGAGGGAATGGAGCTTCAGGAGGTGACATCAGGGCTGGGGAAGTGGAGGACATAATGTTTATGCTTGAAAGTAGGTGTGATTTAGAGCAGCAGGAGGCAAAGCCCTCCTAGATTCCTAGCAAACCATTGCAGAATTATCCAAAAGCCAACTGTGAATGGATCTTCTGCAGGCCCTTCAGCTGGCACCGCTGGGAAGGAAGCGTTGTGCCCTGGGGTTTTAGAGCAGTTGCTGGTAATACAGCTCAGAGCTGTGGATGCTGAAGTGTTGCTGTACAGGGCGTACACAACACATACAGCACAGCTGCTGGTGTGACTGACTGTGATACGTGTGTGAGTCAGGAAGTTCCTCTGTATCTCCTCGTTTTCAGAGTGGTGAAAGGTTTCATAAATGTCTTCTCTCCCTTTCAGATATCACCTTCTCAAACTCCTTCAGAAGTTTGGCAAAGTAAAGCAGTTTGACTTTCTCTTTCACAAGTCTGGTGCTCTGGAGGGGCAGCCAAGGGGTTACTGTTTTGTCAACTTTGAAACCAAACAGGTAAGTTGCTTCAATCTGCGATTCTGATTTAAATGACTAGCTTCTTTCCCCATCTTTTTTTATTTGTGTGTGTGTGTCAATGTAAAGTTAAAACAGGAAGGGATGAGTTAAATACCTTATCTACACAAACCCACTGACTTTAACAGCCCCACTTGGTGACAGACACTTGGTGGCTGCTCCTTGAAGCAGCAATAGTGATTTCCTTTCTCCTGTGCTGTTTTTTTGTTGTTGTGTTTTTTTTTTTCCTGAATCCTGCTTTCTAATGCTATTTGGAAAGGACCAATTAATTCTTTGGTCTACATTTGTAATGAGCTTGTGGAGTTGTACCTTGAAGATGCTGTGATCCACACAGAGCCTGACAGACCACCGGCAATCCAGAACTGCTCTGAAGTCCTCCTAGTTTTCCTTTGGCTTCATGAACACACAGACGTCAACTTGTGTGATGCTGCCAGATGTGTGACATGACAAATCTGCAGCATCCTGGAGTGAGCTGCCCCTGACTCTCCATTTGGGGCTTTAGCTCTTGTTATAAATCAAAATTTCAAGTCGTGCTCCCCTGTAGCATCAGAGCTATAGATATTTTGTCACAATTCTGCTAGAATTCTTCAAAAGTTACGGTGAACCAGGTGTTTGGAGATTGCTTGTTATTGTTTCCCCTCATCTTTTTGCTGTGCAGTTGCTGGTAGAGGTGTCAGAAGAGCCCTGACACGGTGCCTTAGCTCTAGAAGCTGTGATGGAATCATTATTCATGGCAAGGTGGGACAGCATTGCAACATAAGTTTGCAACTGCTGTGAATCACATTTTATAGCAGTGTCCTGAAGCTGAGAGCCCAGTGCTGAGCCTAGATCAGGACTGAGTGGATAATTCCCCCGGTGCACGTGAGCAGGATCTGGAATAAGCACAGACAGGTGTTAATGAGACACGTGTCATTGCTGTAATGAGACACAGTATTTTCTAGAGAAATTCTGTAACGTAAGCCTCGCTCAGAATGCTGTTCCAGTGGCCTCTGCATTTGGTATTTTCAAACTCTTGATCTTTTCCCCCATTTCCTCCCCCAAAACAAGTGAAAGATTTAGCCTTATAGGTTTATAAAAGTCTAGTTACTCAGATGGATGTTGGCATCTTCCAAAGATATTCCTGGATTGGGATACAATGGGATAAACTTTCTTTGCTGTCAGTTAGCTGTACTTCCAGAAGACTGATTTACAAAGAAGAAAGGCTCTTTACATCTGAGTCGGTTTTGACTAAAGCCTTGGTTTGTTTATTGAACTCCCTTCCTGTGCATCCTGTGCAGGAAGCAGAAAAGGCGATCCAGTGTCTCAATGGGAAGCTGGCCCTTTCCAAGAAACTGGTGGTGCGGTGGGCACACGCACAAGTCAAGGTAAGCTGCTTGCTGTAAACAACACCTGCTTTTCATTTGCAAAATCAAAAAACTTTAAGGAACAATTCTTAGGAGAGCTGTCAGCCTGGTCAGAATTTCAGCCCGTTCTAGGAAATGACTCTTAGAGGAACGGTGTTAACAACCTGCCCCTTCCCCTGCTACCCAAACTGGGCTGGGTGCTCTGTAAGAATGGGCCATTTAACCTCATGTTCTTTGTAAGGGAATTTCTAAGCAGTGATGTGCCCAGGTTACTTCTATACGTGCCCACGCTTTAACTTTTCCAAAACCTAGTGGGTGACTGGCTGGAAGTTTGAATCCTTCCCTTTTTTTTTTTGCTTTTTTGGGTAGGAGATGCATGGAAATTCCTGATTACCAAGTGTTTTGTTACTTTGTTCCACTTCTGAAAGCACTTCTGTGGCAGCAGTGCTAATTACTTCTGACTCTAAAACAACATTTCACATCTAAGCTAAATATCCTTTTAATGCTTGTTCTGTTGCATAAGCCATCAAGTTTTTAACATTAACTTAGGCAGTACCTTCTGGAACATCCTTTGGTTTTAATATTTTTTTAAATTCTTGTCTGGTTTCTCCTGCAGTTATTTACTATCTGGTACTTGATAAAGCAATTTATTTTGAATAACTTTCTTTGCAGATAAATGGATTTGGAGGGAAGCAGAGGGAAGCTATTCCTTTGGGTAGTTTGTTTTTAGCACGTGTTGGTTGTCCTATAAGCAGCTTTCTACCCTTTTTCTTATCAAATATACTAGTGCCTGGATGCTAAAAAACCAAAGCAGGTATCTTTGTTAAAAGAGACCATGTTGTTTTAATTACTGAGGCTCCTGTCAGCATATCCAAGCTTGTGGAAATCCAGTCTCCATTTTCTTGAGCTCTGTAGCTACTCGAGTGCCACGTGCTTCCGGATGCCTGAAGAATGATCAGGCCATAAAAGGAGTTTCAGCCAGAGGAGTGAGCGTCTGCTCAGCTGGGAATTCAGCGGGGCAGCTCAGTACTTGGCTGTCCAGGCTACGGTGAAGAACATGCAGAAATAATCAGTTCAGTTTGCATGGCATGTTCTCATCTGTGAATGGAAAGATTTAACAACCCAAAACTTTGGCTTCTTATAACAAGTGTTTATTTTAGACAATACCAACACCATGCTAAGTAGTTTTAAGATGAGTGGCCAAGGTTTACCCAGATACTGTCAGTTTGAGCAGCTCTGCTGAAAAACAAACCTGACTTGGTGCCAAGCGAAATAAGGAAGCAGAACACTGCGAATAGTTCAGGAGGCCCGTTGCCCACAGAGATGACAGATGTACAAGCTACTTTCTACAGAAAAGAGGTGGTTCCTCACTGCTCTTTTTCTTTTTCCTGTCCTTTTTTTTCCCTTTTCTCCCAGCACTGCATGATTCTGTGCAGTGCACACTTGGGTTCCCTCCTGACTCTGCACAATGTCCATGTGAAGAGCATAGCAATACAGTAGTTACCTTAAAATGTACCATCTTTGCTTCCTGCCTTATGTAGAGGGGAACAAGAAATGATGAGTCAGGTTAAGGTTTGAGGATACATAGTGCAGACACTCTGTGTTCCATGTTGGTACTAAACAAATACTATGGTTGGGATTTGTGGCAGTGTTTGGCCACAAAATCATTCCTAGCCAAAGCTTTACAAAATTTCAGGTGATATTAATACAACTTCAGAGTGTATCTGTGGGCAAATGTTTCTTTGTTTGTGACTTCAATCCTTGCTCTCTTATTTGCAGAGATATGATCACAATAAAAATGAGAAGATCCTTCCAATCAGTCTGGAGCCATCGTCCAGCACGGAGCCACCTCAGTCTAACCTAAGGTAGGAGATGGGGTGGATGAGAGGTGGCCAAACTGTGGGAGTGGCAGGAAACTAACTTTTTCGATAAGATCTGGAGTTGTTGGCATTACCTTTGTGCTAAAAATATAACATGGCAGAAAAGCTGTTTTTAGAAGGGCTGAGTAACTCACTTGATGTGGGATGCTTCAGACTTGAAGTTCATTTTCTGATGTGTGAAGCTCCTAGGGCAGTAGGAAGGAAGAGGGATGACGGGTTGGGAATCTGTAACATTGCAGGTCCTTTGGCTGGAATGTGCTTTGCACTTCTTCATCTGAATTTCAGTGAGAGGTTTTGTACTGTACAAATTTGATAAAGCAAAATGCTTATGAACAAGAATTGCTATTATAGTGGCAAGAGATTAAAACAAAATCACAGGTAGTACTTTCATAAAACTTATTTTTCACCAGCCCTAATGCTGGCAGATCTTCTCTGTGGGATGTGGTTAAATTCTCCACCTCCTCTGCTACCTAAAGCATGTAGTTTTCCTTTGCTAATTCACAGTTTGGTTGAAAGGGTAAGTGATTTTCCTGTGTTCTGACAGTGGAACTCTATAAGGACCTAGGACCAGGGATAATGAATTTGCCTACAGATAAAATGAGCTTGGAATTCAGAAGTAAAACACTAGCAAGTAATGAGCAGAGCAACTTGAGTCATGCAGATCATTAGCTACATCAGTGGAATAAAGGAGTTGTGTTAGTGAGGATGGATGCTGCAAGAAGCCACAGCAGAGAAGGGAACGTTCCTCAGTCCATACCCAACGGAGGACAGGGAATGACAAAAGTCCTAGGAATTTGGGGTGTAACCTAGGATAGCTTCTCCCTTTGGGATAAACCCTTCTAATGCTGAAATAATGTTTCTTCCTGACCTAATTAGAGTCTGGGGTTTTCCCATCCCCAACGATCTTGTAGCTGGGAGGAAGTCTGGCTTTCATTTCTCTGCTGTTTCCAGCAGCCTGGTCTGAGCTGCGCTCTGCTGCACATGCTCAGGCTTCTGGCAGTGACATCATTTTACATGAAGGAGGAAGCCTTGTTGTGTACTCCTCTCGCTCAGCGTCCTCAGGAAAGTGCTGAGTAGGTGCAAGGACCGTTAGTTTGTGGTGCTGTGATACATGTTGGAGAAGCAAATCCGTGCTGAGGATTGAACTGAAATAGCCTGGGCTTTATGCAGTAGATTCCTGCCTCCCAACTTCATGCTGCTTGTGAAGGCAGCACTGGGGGCTGCCTGGCCCCTCCTTGCGTGACTTAAGTGTTTGCACGTCAGCAAAACCTTTGGGTTGCTGTAGTCTGATTCTGTGCTAAGATCAAGCTCAATTTCTCTTCTGTTTTTCCTCTTTCCAGTGTCAGTGCAAAAATAAAAGCCATTGAAGCCAAGCTGAAAATGATGGCAGAAAATCCAGATGCGGAATACCCAGCAGCACCTGTTTATTCTTACTTCAAACCACCGGATAAGAAAAGGACTACTCCTTATTCCAGAGCTGCCTGGAAATCTAGAAGATGATGCTTGGGAATCCATAATGGTAGCAAAAACCACTGCTTTGTATACCTGGAGTCCTCCAATGCTTTTTGTACTTTGTAGAGTGGGAAGGACGCTGCCACCTGAGCACAACTCTGCCGCTCTACAGAGCAGAGTGTTTTGTGACACCTGAGGTGGGCTGCTGGACACTCCTTACTGCCAGGGCTGCTGTGCAGAACAGTAGGTTCCCTTCAAAGCCTCTGATGAATACACAGACAACCTCTTGTTAGTGTGCATTCATTAACAAGATTAGAAACGGTAACCAGTGTATGGAGGAAAGCACATCCAAAAATACTCCATTTAACTGATTATTTTTTAAAGGCTTTTTGAACAAAAAGTATTTGGATTTGTGTTTTTAATGGAAGGGAAGCACTTGGTTTTGATTAACATTCTGTAGTTACCGTGGAAAACTTTTTCTCATCTCAATAAAACTCATTTTAAATAGGTTTTTTGCAACACTTCCCGTAACTGTGCGTGCAATACTTGATATGCACCAAAGCAAATTTATTTTGCATTTTGATTTGCAAACTTTTCAGGTATTAGTTTATGATGTGGTAACGTTAAGTCATGACAAGGCACAAGTATTTTCAGTGTCGTTTAGGCTGTAGGTGTGTGTCTCTGTGTATTTACACACCACTGAGGCCTGTGCTGGGCTGTGAGCTTCAGAGCAGGGCAGTGGCACGTCCAGTGTTTGCGGTGACTGCTCCCCTGCCCTGGTAGCTCTTCATAAACCAGGTGTGACAGCAACACTGCAGCCTCCCAGACGTCTGTCAAGCACGTGACCTTGGCGTTTGCCCACCAACTGGTCCGACTTTGGGCTTTCACTGGCTGGTAAAGGTGGTCAGTTGCCTCCTGGTGTAAGGTGGCACCAGTGTTTGTGGTGAAATGGTTCTGCTGTGTGCTGAGGATTTACCCGCACCAGGTGCTTTATTGGCAAATTTGATGGATGGCATTTTGCTTAAACTGTCTGATCTGTGGCACGTTCTTCTCCCTGGACATTCTTGGCAAAATAGAAACCTGAGGAAAAAACATTGTCTGGCAGCTTTTTTTTGTTCCTTTGTACACAGCACTCTGACTGCGTGTGCAAGGGGGATGTTGGAGAACGTGTGTGCTGGGGTCCAGGAGGTGCTGGTCTGATTTTACCAGTGTCTGCTCTCTCTGATCCTTTCTACGGTGAATCTTTACCTCGTTGGTCTCTTGAAGTTGCTTCCCCGAGCTGGTTAACAGTGGTCTAAAGTAAAAGAACAATAATTTTTGACCATCCCTTGGTTTCTGGAGGCAGGTGTTGCTCTCTGGCTTAGCAAAGCAAGGTTTGTATCCCTACAGTGATGCACCTACCTCCACACAGAGCAGGCTTCCTGCTTCCCAGCCGAGCAGCTGGAGCAGAGCTGTGCATGTCTGTGGATGGATTGTTAAAAGCCTGAACTATTCAGAAGTAGGGATTGTGTTGTTAAATATTTGCTTTCTAGTTTTTGGGTACCTGAGTAAAGAGAAAAAAAAAGAAAGTAGAGTCACTGGGAGTTTGTAGCCCTCTGAATGTCAGTAACTCCCGTTTACATTCCTCTGTGAACAGCCTGTGTTTTGTTCTTGCGTGGTCTAACGTTTGTAGTCCTCTGGATCTGTATCTGCGTTATTTACAACAGCAATCAATCCTCTTCCTATTAGGAATTTAAAAAATACCCAGATACAAATTGAGTACGTGGCTGTGTTCCTGTCAGAAACATACTTTGAGATTTATTTGTATTTAAATACAATTTGTTGAAATTCTTAACGTCTCTAAATAAACATTTAAAATGCATGTTTTCCTCCAGGAAAGCGAGGGTGGCAAGCAGGAAGTGAGGGTGGTAAATGCCTGGCATCAGCCGAAGTCCGCTGATACAAATCTGGCTACAATAGCAGTAGTCTTGGGTTTTTTTAATTTAATTTTTTTCCCTTGCTCTGCCGCAGTCACCAACAGAAGCTCCTTGTGTGTCGTTGGGCAGAGTCAGACCTGGGGGAGCTTTATTGCAGGTCGGTGTTTGTGTCTGTCATTCCCTCTGGTGCTGCCTGTGCTTCCCAGGAATGCTGCGGCTTCCCCAAGGCCCCGCGCCGCTTCGGCAGCCGGCAGTGACAGCGCAGCCAAACCGGAGAGTTTCGAGCCCTGGAGCTGCAAGGAGGTAAATGCTCAGTAACGGGGTTTTTTTAGGAGTGTCAGCTCTGGGGTTTTGCATATCAACCGTCATAAAACAGGTTTGAAAAGCAGCGGGATGCCTGGCATCGGGGCTTGGGTGGAGGATGCGGCCGGCTCTGGAGCTTGGCAGGCTGGCGGGGGGCAGGAGACCTGGGCTTGGCACCCTGGGGAGGTGACTGGGGCTGTTCCCACCTCTGGCACGGGCCCCCATCCCTGGGGGGTTCTTTGCTTTTCCAGTGATGCCAGCACATCCCTGGGGGCAAGGTGGGGTGCCCGGGACAATGTTCACTGTGTCCATGATGTGGGTTTTTCCTCAGTCTCTGCTATGGTGAGACTCCCTCAGTCGGGACACGCACCTTTACCTGCGGGCACATACTCCACATCAAACCCCAATGTCTGTGCTGCTCGGTGACACGCAGCCACCTTGTCACTGCCTCGTATGAGGTCTGGCGCTGGTGGGAGGGAGCACACGGTGGGAAGTTGGTGCTGGTACCCAGTAACTCCACAGCTTTGCGTTCCCCCAGCGCTGCCCGTACCCTGTTCACGGTGTAACCCGTGCCTCGGAGATGGATCTGCTCCCAGGAGCAGGAGAGCGGCTGCCACAGGCTGAGACTCAATCCCAAGGCCAGGGAAGGACGAGGTTGGGCTGAAGTCACCCTGTTCCCGAGCCTGCTCTGACTTTGTGGGGCCCAGAGCACCTGATGTGTCACTATTGGTGAAAGCCATCGGCATGGTGGCGCGGTCCTTGCTGCCCTGCATCGCTCTGGCCCTGTTCGGAGCGCCGCTGCGTAGGGGGACAGACAGCTCTCATGGCTGCAGCCCTGAAAACTCCTATGTGTTTCTTCCGGAGCTAATTCCAACCCTGCCAGTGTGGACGGGTGGTTTAAATTGTCCTTTCTCAGCCCTGCTCCTCCACACTTGTCCCCGTCCCCC